GAGTTGGAAGCCAAATCCAGCACCACACCACTGCAGTGATGGGAGACAGCACTACTAACACTGGATTTCCTTAATGCAGAGTTAGGGAGTTTATGTGTTAGACCATATATAACCTAGAGTGTTGTGCAATCCTAACACAACTCATGTCTCCCAGGCTTTGTTTCTAATATTAAGGCACTGTTTCAAATATTAAGGTACTGTTTCAAATATTAAGGTATGTTAGGTAGCAATTCTGATGCAGACAAGGTACAAGACTAATCTCTTGAAATGTCAAGACTGACATCAAAGTTCAATACCTACCAGAGTGAAAAGCTGCCTGGATTCAAACAGAGTCATTCCTTTTACTTCTCTGTTACTCCTTGTTAGTGGTGGTTTCCCCAAAACCTAAAGCACACACATCTGCAGAACATGGAAACAGCCCACCACTGATCTAAAGGTGGCAGATCTGAGACTCATGGCATCCAAAGAGCTCTTTTGTTCCAATAAGCAACTCTTAGTGCTGTTGTACTCAAACCTCTGTCTTAATGTTAAACTATTTCATTTATCTTCCCTCTAAGCTAAAATGGATTTAGCAGTACCACTACATTTGAATCAAACTAATTGGAAACAGAAATTTGATAAGAATGGAAGTGATGAAAAAAAGCCATACACTACAATATATCGGAGTAGTAAAAAGTCACAAATATGGGATAATGAGCTTTAATAACTGTCACAGAATAACAAGCAGAACAATATGTTCATCAAGAAAAGGCTATACAGAAACCTGTCTAAGAAGTAGCTTTATGCCAAAGGTTGCCCCTGCAGAGAAATGGAAAATAACTTTGAACTTCTTCAGATCATATGACATCTCTCCACACTACCCCCTTTCAAAATGCCCATAGGAAATTCTGTGAATTGTTTCCCCAGATGCCTTGCACACCAGCTGGTTTGGATTAAACGTCTTGCCTGCGGCATCTTTTAGACCTTGAGGCCTGCCATTTTTGACAATGTGATGAACAGCACACAATTGTATATCCTCCATGTTTAAGATAATCTAGCGTGCCAGAAACACTGTTAAACCTATGCACAATAGAGATAGAGGTTGAAAGAAAACTGCAGCAACAATCCCTCAAGTTCAGAAGTTACAGCTCTAGAATTTCCTCTATACAACATTATATTCATAAAACATTCAAGATAATTGTTGAACTCCCTCTCTGCCTCTGATTTCTTGTTATTTTAGTACATTAAGCATTTACAAATCACAATCATAACTGCAGTACTCTGAGCACTATCAAGCCCTTCACATTACCAGAACTTTGCAATAATACTTGCACAATAGGTGCAGCCAGAAATTGAACTCACTGTGAGTGACACCACGCAAACAAAGAGGAAAACATGAACAAAGAAACAAGAAATCCAAACCCTAAACAAACAATATTTTATTTTCACTTCCACCAAAACATGCTAGGATAAATTGTCACTGCTGAGTTCTGTCTGGATTTCACAACATGTCTGAAGATTAAGCCTGCAGTCTATTCTGAACTACTGTTCTTCCAGAACTGGCTTCAAGCACTCTGTCAAGTTGAACGAATTAATCCTTGTTACAAGTGCCTCAGTGTTTTGCCCATACAATGTAGGTTCTCTCATCACCCAAGAAACAAAAGACTTGCTAACCAGTGAGGGCTTCATCTTTTTCCAAAGTCAGAACATACTTCTCTGACAAGGCATTACTATCTCAGCAAAAACGTGTGGCAACTTTCTGAATAAAAATGAAATTTAAATTTCATATGCAAGCTAACCTCTGAAAGAGAAAATCTCTTTTAATACAGTAGTTGTCAATAATGTCAGTAATTTTATTACTGTTTAGCAGTTACCATCAGAACACCAGCTTGGGTTTTCAAATGCTCATTATACTGACTATATGTTAAAGCTTAATTATCTAATTAGTTTCAAGGCTGGTGTTCAGAATGCTTCCCATTCTGCAATATTTGTTATTTGAAGTACAGAAACCTGTAGTATGAAAACAGTGCTTCCTAAGTATTCATAATTACCTAGTTGTGGCCCGAGGATATCAGTTCTCCTGTTAGCAGCTTCTTTGTCTTACGCCCTTCAGAAGAGTTTCAACTTTCAAGAGATAGAAAGAGTTGTACAGCAACATTACCCATAATCAAACATAGTGATTCAGCTCAATGACACTGAAAAAGCATAACAAATGAACTTACTGCCTGTATGCTGCGTTATCAGCATTCCCGTATACAGTAAGAAAAGCTTCAATAAGATGCCTCAGTTGACTTACATGATCCTAAAGGTAATAACTCTCCAGCTCTTCATGATGGGATGTGAAAACCATTTTCTAATAACACCCTCAGGCACACAGAGTTGAGCATATTGACATCTAGCATTTTCTAGGACTTACTTAGAATATAAATTTCTATTACTAGAGCTGAAGAACAAGCCTTCTCTTTTAAAAAAAAGCTATTTGAAATATCGTCCTTCATTCACAGAAACATGACAAGGACCTCAAATTTACTTAATCTCAAATGAAATAGGTAAAGCTTTTGTGGCTAAATTTGTGAACCATAATTAGATGTACAAAGCCAGATGGACCACTTTTGACACTGCAGTGGGTAATTCACAACCACGTAAGAAGGAAGAGGGGTACGTTTTGCTTTCTATGAGAAAATTCACAGTCAGGGCAGAATATGCAATTACGCGACTCTCAGCAGTATCTTTAGAGCCAGTGCTTGCTGCAGATACAATTTACAAGCCCTTAAGATTAGATTTTATACGAAAATTCAATTAAGATGAATAATAAATCCTCAAATAACTTCCTCACTGCTTGGAAACTTCCCTATGTCTAACTCTCAGGAAAGAAACAACCTACCCATTCAGGTTCCTTCTCAGCACGATGCAAATGATTCCATTTAAGTAAGCCACATTACATCTTTATGAATCTGTTGTAGTTCTTCTTTATGACATCTACTTAAAGCAATCAATGTGCATGAAGAGAAATTACAGCAAACAAATAAGCAGTGTCTTCTAACCCCCTTTGGTCACTTTTGTCCAATACAAGAAGAGACTGAATATCTGCAAGTTCTCTTCATTTTTACTAAAACAGGAAATATGATGGTATGAACAAATAAAAATTACGTCAATAGATCATCATGCTTTGCTGTCTGGCTAGATTATGCATCAAACACATGTCCCTGCGTGGTAAGAACAATGCAGGCAAGTTTTAGACATTAAGCATAATGCCTTGAATCTAAGAAACATGGGCTGCAGGTTGTTTAACTAGACTTGAAAATTAGTTGTTTTTTTTTTTTTTTTTTTTTTTTAATACAAAAATACAACAAAAAAACACCACCTCAGATTAAACGGTTTAGCACAAAACAGAGGTCACACTGTTACTTCAGTGTATAAAAATACAGGTATATGCACACATAATAAAGACCAGGAACAGGCTAAAATTAACCGATATTTAGTCATTCTCAGCCATTCTGCAAGTCATTCTTAACCTTTCTACTCTTAGTTGAGATGGCTTCCCTGGGACATAAGGTTTGGCCAATGGATTGACTTATGCACCAAAGTAAGGAGAGTAGTCAGGAGCAATGAACTCCAGCAACAAATTACCAGTGTCCAGATTCATAGTACTAGGGCAGAAACAGCATGCCTCTGTTAACAACTCCTTAGATATAAGGCAGACTGCATATGCAATGTTTAATTTCATCAGTTATCAGATCATTTTCTATCCAGTTTTGTTCTTACAATTTACTGAAAGGGCTAGAAATTAGATCGCATCGAAAAATATCAGGCTGGGGGGCAGGGATGTCTTTCGTGCATAGAAGACATTGTCTATTATAAATCAAGACCTTCTCAGAAAGGAAGCATTGAATGTACCATGCAGTACCAAAACAATTACTTTGTTAATATGCAGATTCAGTAGAAATAAATTGGAGTCTTGTACTAACAACAGTGCCTGGTATCATCAGACCAAGGAATAGTTGCAGCCAAGGGAGTATTTTATAAAAATAACACTGCAAACAAACATGGGGATTCGCATTTATTCACAATAACATATATACTGAAGGGCTTATTAGTCTAAATGTGACAGCTGAAGCACTGGCATCTGTCTTGGGCTACTTTCTGCAAAAAATATGATAAACAAGAGATGTTTTTTAAACTAAATAGCCTTTGTAAGTTACCGTGCCTGATAAAATGCTAAATTTTTAAATAAAATATAAAACATGTTTCATGCATGATACCTGGTTAGTCACAGCCATCACACCTATGCCTTCCTAAGTTTTGGCTTTTAAGTTTATTTCTTTCACTCTCCAACTCTTAAAAAGAATACCCACCATCAACACCACCACACTCCCATACACTAGACACTGTTCAACAGACACAAGGACATTACCAAAAGAACTTTTTTCCTCTTTTTCTTTTACAGAGTGATTTCTAGCTTTTCCATCACTTCTCGTTTGCTCATGCTCATTAAGAAACACAGGAATATCAATACCAGCCTTAACCTTAGCACACAGAAAACCTTAGCACACATTCTTCAAAAGAATTGCTCATTCTAATCTTTCCTTACGTATACTTCATCCACCAAAACAAACAAGAAGATGCAAATTGGCTACAAGACAGATTAATATTACATGGTATCTGAAACTGTAGCTCAAAAACAGGGCAGGTAAACCAAAGTACAGGATATGGCATTTTTAAGATGCTTTCTACTCAGCAAAAATTACTGGAAATAAAAACAATCCACTTTTCATTTTGCGTCAAGTGCACACCTCTTACAAAAAGCAAAAGATGTTTCAAAAGACTCTTGGCTCCTTGCGCATTAAGCCCCGTAGCCATTAGTGCTAACATTGATATTTCACGTTCTGTGCTGCTGCTTTGCTCCCATCCCAACACCTCCTGTTGAGGAAACTCATTACTTGCATAACTCACCACACCCATAAACATGAATTCACTTCCATTTCAACAAACAAGCGTAGTAAGTAAGAAACAAAACTTACTACTCTGGTTCCTGATGATCTACGTGTTCCTTTAACATTAGATGCATTCCTTAGGCTGGTTGAAGTTGCTAAAGGAAGAGAAGTAGAAAGCTGAGGAGGAGTGAAAGGCATCAAAGGCAGCCTGATATCTCCTAATATGCTTTGCTTTGAATTGGAATTTTTAGTTGTGAACCTCTCATTTTCACTGTTTCCTGCATCTCCACTGCCAATTTCAGTTTTCCCCTCATTCTTGATTCTTTTCAAGCAGTCCTTCAGCATCATCTGAGTTGTAGGCTGACTCAGCCAGCACAAGAAGAGTTCATCCACCTTCATTTTCAGTACAGGCTGTAGAACTTTCCCAGGTGGCATTTTCTACAGGTTTCCCTTCTTGGAAGAAATTCAAAATAAAGGTTTGATAATTATCTGCTTATTCCACTTCACTTTCAGTGTCTCACAGAATCTAAAACTCCTGTTAAGAAAAACAAAAACAAACTCTGTTAAAGCTACAACAGTAAATAAAAGTGCTAATATTTATCTCTCCACAGGATACAGCAGGTGTGGGGAGAGACAAAACAGCATGTGACTACAATGGCAAAGAATCATTCTGTAAGCATAAATCATTAGTCAAGCCCAGCGTCACGATGTTATCTCTACATATATCTGTGTCTATGATGGGACAGAAGGCATACAGGCCCACTGGCCCAAAAAAGGGAAAAGGGTAGGTGGGGAAGAGAGGGAAAACAGAAACAGAACAGTGAAAGTCTTCTGGGATATACAGTTGTTCTCCTCAGAGAACCAGGTACCCAAACATATCGACAGTACACGGAACCGGAGCATTAATTCTTTTACTCTCTATGGATGATGACTGCACCACCTCCCTGGGCAGCCTGTGCCAATGCTTCACCACTCCTTCTGAGAACACTTTTTCTTAATACCCAAACTGAACTTTCTCTGGGGCAATTTAAGGTCCTTTAGTCCTACCAGCTTTATGCGACCTGAAGATTGGGATAGCATCACTTCAGCTCAGTTGTTCACTTGAGAAAATATGTGCTCTTCAAGAAGCCAGAGCACTAGGGCTTAACGGTGAAATAGGAGCTTTGATCAGGTTACCATCACCATCTCTGCAGTCAAAACACCTACTGACTAGCTAGGTTAAACCCTGTGAGTTTTTTTTTTGTTTGTTTGTTTTTTTGCTATGTTTTACCTCTTGACATGTTAGCCTTCACATTGGCAGATGTTTATAGAAATGTTTAAACTTTTAAGCCCTCACCTTTACACCCATTTCACCCATATGCAGAAGGCTGCAAAGTCACTCCAAACACTCCACCAGAGAAGCCTTATAATGATTGAGCGCTTGAACACGAGAAGCGAGCACAACCCAGCACCTTAAAGCGCCGTTACCACCGAGGCTCAGCCTTTGCCCAGGGCTTGATAATTCTCTACCAGCCAAGTTATCGAGCTGCCATTTTCAAAAGCTCATCACGCTGAGCACACACGTTAATCCTTTTGAGATCCAGTACCACACACAGCACCGGAACCGGTCGCCACGTCACTCCACAAACAAACCAACGAGACTGCCGAGCCCGCCTCCACGCCCACACCAACCCGCGGCGGGGCCGGCCGTGCCCATGCGCCCTGCGTGCCCCGGGACTGGCGGGACGCGGGGCAGCCGCCAGCCGACGGCACGCCTGCGGCCGTTGTCCCGCGCGCCCGGCCCAGCACGAAGTATACGTGCCCCCAGCAGCGCTCGGGGTAACGCAGCGCGGCACGAAAGCGGGCAAGCAGCACTAAGGCGCCCGAAGAAGCCGCAACCTGCACTCACCATCTCCACAAGGCACAGCCCGCCGCTACCTTCAAATCTGCGCCGCCTTCCGGCACGCCCCGCGCCCACCGCTCCTGCCCGCCGAAAACTCGCGAGAACTCCTCCGTCCCGGCGGAGACGCGGCGAACGGTTGCTGTGGTAACGCGCAGCGGGCGGAGCCTCCTGTCCGCCTGCGTCACGGAGCCTCCTGGCCACCCGAGCTGAAGCTATGGAGGGGCTGCGCTCGGGCCTTGTTGGTTCATCGAGGGGGACTCGCAGTTCCCGAACTCACCTTTGCTTGTGGCTTCCAGCTGCTAAGTCCATTGAGAGGAGAATACAGAATACTTCTCCTGTGCTTCTGTGCTATTGCTGTTGTTGCCATTCCTGCTAAGGGATTACAAATCACAGAATCATAGAGTGGCCTGGGTTGAAAAGGATCACAGTGATCATCTGGTTTCAACCCCCTGCTATGTGCAGGGTCAGCAACCAGCAGACCAGGCTGCCCAGAGCCACATCCAGCCTGGCCTTGAATACCTCCAGGGATGGGGCATCCACAGCCTCCTTGGGCAACCTGTTCCAGTGTGTCACCTCCCTCTGTGTGAAAAACTTCCTCCTAATATTTAACCTAAGCCTCCCCTGTCTCAGCTTAAAACCATTCCCCTTGTCCTATCAAATGAGAGGGTGGAAAGGGAGGGAGTTCAGCCAACACAGAGTCTCTTGGAGAACTTGTTTGTGCATGGTACCAAGAGACCGTCTACATGACACATCAATGAGGCTCTAGGTGTGCTTGTCAATGCAAAGTTAGTTACATGGCGTGGCATTGCCCAAGGTCATTTGTTCCTCATTATTTTGTACATCAGTGGCTTGTGTATTTTTACCTCATAACCCTCTTCCACAATGCTGTGTTTTCCTTATGTGGGTATGCCTCACTTCTATGCTCTTCTTTTGGTGTGAGAGGTGCTCTGAGCACTTCTGACAGATTGATGCCACAACTCCATGAAATTTTTATTGTTGTGGAGCCGAGGCTATGCCAGAGACAACACCATTTACGGTTCTCAGTGGTTTGAAGACATGATTAAAATAGAATAAGTGAAGGAATGGGCATGGTTTGTGGGAGCTCAAAGAGAGAACACAGAGATAGAGGATTAAGGGAGAGCGAAAGGTTAAATGCCCATGAGAGAAATCTGGTACACGTCAGTACAATTATATTTTATTCATACTCAAAATACTACAATCTTCTGGCAAAGTCAAGGCTGATATTGTTGTATTTTGGATGGCTTTTTAGAGGCGATGACACACTGGAACAGGTTGCCCAAGGAGGCTGTGGGTGCCCCATCCCTGGAGGCATTCAAGGCCAGGCTGGATGTGGCTCTGGGCAGCCTGGTCTGGTGGTTGCTGACCCTGCACATAGCAGGGGATTGGAACTAGATGGTCATTGTGATCCTTTTCAACCCAGGCCACTCTATGATTTTGTGATTCTATGATTCTATGATTCTATGACCTGTTGCTGTAGACACAGAAATGCATTTACATAACTTTAAGGTGAGGTTCTGCATTCAAGAAAACCTATGAAATGTTGGCAATTTTTGAGGGATTCCCCACATTTTGAAACAGAGGGCTTTGTTTCCTGCCACTTGGTGAAATCTAGAAATTTGGACAAAATGTTTTGTTCTAAACTGGAGCAAAGCATTCAATATAAAGTACAGGAAGCAGATGTCAAAGTATGAATAAATCTGTAATTACTGTGGAAGTAGCTTTAAAGCAGGGGAAAGAAAATGAGAACTCTGTTATGGATTGGAAGTGCAATTTCTGGCCCAGAACTGAAGGGCTGAATTAAGAAGAGTGATAGCAGAGCCACAGACATGGAACAAAGAGGACTTTTAAAACATTTTGAATGCCTTTGAAGCATTCCTTAGTGATGGTGTAGCCATCTGGTGATTGACATATTGAAGACAGGTGGCAAGAAGGGGATCAGAGAGTGAGTTGACAGAGTTGTAGAGTTGGATATCATCTGCATAGAGATGCTGCCCTTTGTTGAAACTGGCAATGAGATCTCCCAGAGGAGAAGGAGAAATAAGACAAAAGAAATGAAAAAAAATATCTGAGCAATACACACAGTCACAGTATTCTCATGTGCATGCTATTGTATATTCAAAGCAATTTAATTCTGACTTTATTAGAATTTGTCATGATTAACATTGGTATGAGAAAGGAATCAATTCCACATGTCTTCTGTTAAACAGAAAGTGCTTTGGGCGCCATCACCAAGTCATAAAAATACTTGCAATTGACAGGGATATTTTGAGCATGCCTCTGGATGGATCAGGTCTCTTCAACAGTATGTCTACCATTAGAGATGTGTGTTTGTAGAGATGCACGAGACCAAACTTGGTCAAAAGTGGAAAATGCCTAAAATGATCTTTGTTTAGGTCTTCCACCAAAGTGGGAACTTGGAACTCGCTTTTGACTACTATGTGCATGTTTTTGCTAGAATGATAAGTACAGAAGCTGTGCCTTTTCTCTGTTGGTTTTGAAGTATGGAAATCAGAAATCTTTCTTACTGCATTACAGTTTATGTGACATGTGTCTGTTTTAAGGGTGGGTTTATTTAAAAGACTAAATGAATAATTGCTGCCTGTGAAAGTACTGAGAAAGTAAAATCCAGGTGATACATGAAAGTTAAAGCCATAGTGCAGAACCTGAAGAGCCACATTGGCTTCCAATTCTTTTTGTCTTTGCTGCATCTGGGGCATTTCTGACCTTGCTTTCCAGACTTGATGTTGGAAGAGTACTAGCAGTACTGCTGATGTACATTAATGGCTAAATATCAAAGTCTTTCTTTGTCCTGGTTTGTCACTTGTAGTAACACAAGGCACTGATGGTCATAGGGAGTATTCCAGCTCTTTGCCAGCATTTTATATTCAAGAAAGGCTGGGCTTTTTCCGTAATAACCTTGGATATATACAGCTTAGAAATCTGGATAAGAAAGAGTTGTCTCCACTCCCTTTGTGCTTGGTGGGACAAAGAGGCTGTTCTAAGGCCTGATTAACTTTATCCTGAAGTAGGGATAGATAACCTAGGGAAGATGAATTATGACTTAAGAGTGCTCATTTTTCTCCAATGATTCAGAATCCAGATTGTTGTCTGAGGTGTACACAACCATGTTTTTGAAGTCTGAAGTTAGGTAGAGCCAATGTATTTGCAGTAGTAAGTTTACCTGATTGCACAGGGCTGTGCTAGATGTTTTATGCTATCTCAAATATAGAGTTGTCATCAATCCACAGGACATGTAAGGTTGAGATGAAATGCATGCTCTAGATGAAAGTGCGTTTCACCAGCCAGGATGTATCTGAGTTCTTATTCTAGAGCTTTTTAAACACATATTACATGGGGAAAAAAACAGTGCTTCCTTAGGATATTGCTTTAAGAAGAAAGTTGAATTTCGATCAGTCTTCCCATAGAGCTTTGGCCGACACATTTCACAGTTTTCAAATTTGGGCATCTGAAGTTGGGTTGTAACCTAAATATAAGAACAAAAATAACTGTGTCCTGATTCTCTAATGTGTTAACTTAGTTGCAAGCAAGTGTGCTGAATATTTCTGACAAGGCAGTCACTTTTTTTTTTAAAGTTGCTGTATTTTAAAATTTTGGCCAAGAGTGCTCATTGAGGATGTGCTGCCAAGGTGATGTTCCCTGTAAACTTGCTTATGGCATGCAGTCAGAGAGACTTCAGGGAAGTGTGAATGTTGTGTTCCACTTACTGCAAGACGAAATCTAGCAGTCTGTCACTCACACAAAAACTGCTAGTCCTGATACTATTTTTGGGGAGAGTGGAGAGAACATTGGATGCTTTATGCAACCTCACTTCAACTGAAGGGAATAGCTAAGAGAACATTAATAACTGGGAATCCCTTAAACTACCCACCCATACCAGCTAACCACTCCACTTCATCCTTTCTTGCAGCTGCCTACCGAAAATAGCACTAGGATGGTAAACTACGGATCATATGGCCTCCAGAAGTAGCATCATATGCAGACAAAAAATGTCAGCAGTGCTGACTTGGTGCACATAGTTTGCAGCCAGCTATGCTCTGAGCGTGACAGTGAGACCTGAAGCTTGAATTTTGGCTATCTCTGACCACTTTGAGGTGGAATGCTGCGGTTACTTCAGATCTGATAGATTGCTTGCAGATCTGCAGCTCCTTCAGTGCAAATCAGAAGCATAGTTACAAACTGATCTGGAGGTTATCGGTTTGTGTCATGAGTACAGGCATTTAAACATTCTGTGGTTGCTGATACGCTTCCATTTTAGCTCACTGTGTAGTCAGGCTAAGGTCTTATTGCTGGCTGGCTGTTTACGTGAGTGGTTGGTTTCATGTGGAAGTGTTTACATTTCTGCAGGAAAAAAAAACAACAATATAAAGTGTAGATACTGCACCAGCGCTTGTACTATGAGCCAAAGAAGAGAATTGGTTCAGCAGTTGTTTGCTGTCGTGGCTTGAGATTAATTCTACTGCATGTCAGTGCAGGGCTAGCAATGAACATTTTGTTGTCCGTTTTACTGAATTACTATCAGTGGGATGTTTTTTGCTGAGCTTGGACCATGTTTGTATCAGACCAGATGCGAAGGCTGGTTCCTCATTAAGCCATCCTGATCATCTAATTCCAGGTTCACATATTTCTAGTGCTGTATTTTATCAGATG